AATAAGAAAATACTGAGTTTTAAGTTATTGGGCTTGGATGTTGTTAGTAAAGAGTGGGGGTGCAAAAGAAGTAAAGATATGTTTTGGAACTCAAGTTAGTTTTCTCATTTTTCACGATAAACAGAAGTTGGGAATTTGGGGAAATAGAGCTCTGAAGGTACGAAGAACGAAGAACGAAGAACATCGCTCAAAAAGTTCAAAGCTGCTAATTGATAAGGTAAGGGGGGCTATTACTCGATTTACCTTTGTTTATGGGTTTATGTACGGTTGATTTGGGTAATCGTAGGAAAAAACCCCAATTGTTAGATGTTAGTGGGAATCGATACCCTTAGGATTGAACCTTGTTAGAAAATGGTTAGGTTCCCAATTTTTATGAATCGATTAGGAATTTTAGGTTCCAAATGGTGGATTGGGAGTATATCTGCATGATCGTGAATTTACCTTAGAGGTTTAGGGATAACCTTAATGTTGTCAGAAATTCCCTAAAAAGGACGATTAATCCCGGTTACGGTTACTATAATGATTGTTGAAATTTAGGAAATTGAGGTGTTGTTTTGAATTATACAAACTCGACGTTGTTAGGTACTGAAATGCGCATTTAGCCGGCATTTTCCCGCGTTTGGCTGCTGTTCTGAGCTGCTGCAGGTTCAGGAAAATCCTGTACGCGCTCAGCAACACGGGCCGTGTTGCACAACACGGGCACCCGTGTTGCTCTTCTGTGTTGGGAGATGGTGTGCTTCTGGTTGCACAACACGGGCCGTGTTGCACAACACGGGTACCCGTGTTAGGTCCCCTGTAATGAGAAAAAGAAAATGTGTGTTTTCTGGACGCGCTCTGCAACACGGGCCGTGTTGTACAACACGGGCACCCGTGTTGCTCTTCTGTGTTGATTTTTCTGAATTTTGTTTTGTTGTGCGTTACTGTGGATTTTATTGTCATGCTTTTGGATAATGTTATCGAGCATGAATTATGATATGATTTGATATGATTGATGTTTAAATAGTATGCTGAGTGATTACATGCTATCTGTATCTTGTTATGATTGACGTTGTTGATGTGCATGATATGTTGATTGATGTTCATAGTATGCTGAGTGTTACATACTTACATATCATGTTGCATTTGTTAATTCCCATTGTGTGGAATTAACATAGTGGCCAATATACGTGTCCGCGATTTAATGGAACGTTGAGGTGGTAGCCGTGTCCGCGATATAATGGAACGGTGAGTTATCCGTGACCCGAGATTTAATGGGGCGATGAAGTGGTACCACATGCATGGGTGTGTTGCATTACCTTGAATATAACATGAATGGATGATTTTTCCAATGTTGTATTTGATTGTTGTATGCACGTATGGTTGCTAAATGGTTGACGATGTTTGACGTTAATTGCAAATATGAAAAGCAATATATTATGGGTATATGAATTGTAAAGGTTTTTGTAAACTACGAAATATGCTAACTATTGGGTGATGTTTATGATTTCCTGAATTGATTGTTATGAACGTATAATCAAATGTATAATTGAGATGCTCACCCTTACTGTTGAATATTTCAGATTGAGGAGCTTCGTTCAGGTGCTTGGCAAAGGCTTGTCGTTCTAGTTTATTTTTCGTTTTAGTATTGTCCGGGTCATGCTCTGATAGTTGTAACTCCGGGAACGTTTGTTTGTCGAGCTGCTTTAGTCAGACTCGTTTATTTCCTTAGTATTTGGTTATAATATGATGTTGATATATTCCAGGTGTTAATCCCTGATGATTGAGAATATTATAACTTTGGTTTTATTAAATAAATTATTCCGCTGTGTAAACATGTATGAGTTACTACTAAGATTATGCATGACGGGAATTTGTGTTATTTAAAGAGAATTGTAGCATCCTCGAATTATACATGTACTCTGAAATTATGATTTTAATAATTGCGAAAATTTATTCGGGTTTTTTAGAGGGTGTTACACCGAACCCGAGAAATATCTCGAAAAAGGAATTTTTCAGTGCTTTTTTCCTTTCCTTGTTGGATAAAATAAAAGTCGGTGGCGACTCTTGCTTACCGCGACATTTTATGAAAACAAAACGCAAACCAGCATTCCAAAAAACAGTCAGTTCTTCCCACTGTATCACAAGTAGTCTCGGTCATCAGCACTTCCAATGGTTCGACAAATTGTACATCAACAATATGTAAAGGATCTGAGTCGACCTTCATGGAGATTTTTGGTTTTTCACCAAATTTCAATCGGCCATCTTTTAGAGCCTTCTGAATCAAATCCATGAAAATAAAACATTGAGAAGTATTATGACCCCAAAAATTATGATACTTGCAGAAACCTCTTTTTTGTTTCTGCTCTAATGGTGGATTTTTACTACCTCAAGGCACTATAATCTGACCATATAAAACTAAAACATCAAATATTTTATCACATTTTGACACATCAAGAATATATGTTTTAGTACTAAATATATCATTTTTTGGTTCTTCGATCGTCTTTCCTTTTGAAGGTCTTATAGGTTTACATGCATACGGAGGTCCGACTTTTAATTCAGCCACATTAACTTCTCCTTCTTCCCATGTATTCATCCTCAGACTCTAGGAATAGTCTTTTTCCTTTTCTATGATCCTTTGACACCCTAGATTTCTCTGTTTTCAAACGTTTGACATATTGAACCTTATCAACTAGTTGAGACATGTCTGTAATAGATTGATGATCAAAATTTTTCCTAATAGAATAATCTAAGCCCCCATTGGCCATTTCGACCAGCTCGTGTTCATGAACTCTAGTGAAACATCTAGACTTTAGGACCCTAAACTTATTCAAATAATCTTCCATTGACTCAGACGACTTCCTCTTAATTGAGGATAACTCTTTCAAACTTATCTTAGGCTGACCAACATAAAATTGCTCATGAAATATACCCTCAAGTTGTTCCCAAGTACGTATGGAATTTGGAGTCAATGTCGTAAATCAAGTAAAAGCATTTTTGGTCAATGAATTAGGAAAATGTATTAATTTTAAACCCTCATTGTTGGCAATATCGCCAGCTTCTATTTCGTACCTAGTAATATGTTCAATGGTCTACTCATTGGCATCACCAACAAACTTGGTAAATTTAGATACCTTACATACCTTAGGTAATTCTGCCTGTCAAATGTAACTAGTCAAGGGCGAAGGGTAATTAGGCCTCCGAAGGCCAACATTTATCCCAGATTGTGTTAATACTTCTTCTACTACATCTTCTATGTTGTTACGCCCAACAATGGCATTTTTTAACACTCGATCAACATCTTGATTTCTCCTAACTACGACTGGCCTAGGTTCGTATTGTTTAACGAATTCTTCCTCTTCATAAGTGGGTGCTTCCACTCTCCAAGGTATAAAAGGACGCTCATTGTTGCCCCCTCTAGTTCTTCAAAAACTCTTAACGGCCTATGACGCATTTGAGTTGGTTGGACTCCAAATGAGTCGATCAATCTACTTATTTGGTCAACTACATGATTGAGGGAAACTCTCATTTGTTGAGTTAATACATTTACTAACTCTAAATTACTCTCATCCATCTGTTGCCTTAAAGCCATAACAGAAGTAGTATTCAAAGATGGTGTCGATTGAGGGACATAACTAACACCACATGGTCGACCACTTGGGACATAACTGCTTTGGTTTCCAATGACCGCTGTGTTTTTTTGTATATGTGGTCGAATTCGACTGCAACCCAACCATCATGGAATAAGGCATACCATATTGGTAAGAGACAAATGATGACCCTGGACCCCCATGGAAAGAGTGGTCGATTTGGGTCAAATAGTGATATCTCATGCCTAGGTTCTGTCATTGTGAGTGTTGTCACTGAACCATGAACAACGGTCGATCTCACAGGAGATAAAATTGTCGCGCTTTGAATTGTGGTGCTCACTGGTATGATATCCACATTTTATGTAGAAATCTGCGTATGTGCAGTGTTTGTGTCAGAGCGTGGCATTCTAGACTTGGACAAAAGTTTACCGCTTCTTAAATTCATACACACACAAACTAACTATAATAAACTTTGTAAAATCACACACAAAATACAAAATTATTAGCATTGTCCCATCAAGTGTGCCAATTTGTTTACCTCTAATTTTGGCAAACAACGCTGGTCTCTTAACAAAAAGTTTACTGGCGAGATCGACTAGGGAATCTCAGTATAGTGCTTCAGTTTTCGAGTGTTTTCACAAAGTATGTTCAAAAGGGTTCATTCGACTAAGGCGAAACGAATTAAAAGTAATAAAATGGGACTTGTAAAATAAAATAAAAGACACTTTAAACTATAAAAATAGATGATATAATATCAAAATAGTTGAAAATAGGTTGATTCAAACGTATATTGCCCTAACTTGACTCCTTTCGCCCGTTCACTTGGGTACTCTGAGTGACTAGCGTGTAGGAATTTGAAAGTTTTAACCCCTGACACTATGCACTAAATGCTTTATTTATAATACACAAAAATGACTACTTTTCAGCGGGTTTCGCTTCTTTATAAGCTACGTGTCACTTGTAACTTCCCTTCATGAACCCACATTCTTCATCACTGCTATCGAACCCACGTTCTCCGTCCATAACACTTTGTTTTGCTAGTTATGCACTCTTTGGGCTTTTTAACATTTTTGGGCCCAATCCATTTCTCATGAGATCTCTTTTCTGATCGACTGCGTTCACAAACTCAATTGACTATTTATGATATCTTTTCAGATTGATTTTGTAATCAATTTCCTATAATTCAAAGTTATCAAAGAATTTTTTTAACTTTTAATTAAATTTTAACCTTTTTATAAAAATCTTAGCAACATATACATATCAATTAATTTTTTAAAATGTATTTATGTCAATGATATTTTATTTTTATTTTTTACAAAGTAGCCGATAAAAGGTTTAAAATTAATAACGACAATAATAATAGCTTTATTATAAATAAAAATAACAAAATATCCCGTTGAATCTGTTGATCTAAATCCATTTCTCCCCGACATGATACCCATTACCGGCGTTCTCCGCAAGAGGCAGCGCACCACTACCACCCGTCATTCCCCCACCGCCGCAATCGCCAACTCCTCATTCTTCGACATAACTCAAAACCACCCCCGCTCCTCTCCAACTACCACCACACGTGACACCGCCTCCCTCTTATTCAACGATGCATCCACCGCCGACGTCGTCCTCCGCCTTTTCACCGATACAATCTCCCCACCGGAATCATCTCCCTCCGTCGACTCAGCGCTAATCTCCGATCTCCACGTGTACCTCCACTCGGACATTATTCGCCGGTCCAAATACTTCTCCGCCCTTCTATCCGACCGTTGGATTGGCAACGCTCATCCTCAATCTCCATCGCCGGAGCAAACCACAAACCACGAACTGTTCCGCTTAAATCTTGGAGTTCCTCCTTCTCCTGGCTCGATCCAGAACCATCTCACGGTCCTGGAACTTCTCTACACGAACGATTTCCCTAATGCGGTGGAAAGTGTGTCGACGGCTCTTGATCTCCTCCCTGTGGCGCTTGAATTGCTCTTCGAAGACTGCGTCCGGTGGTGCGTGAGTTATCTCGAAGCCGTACCGTGGACGGAGGAAGAAGAGCACGGAGTCGTAAACCTAATTCCTTTCCTGAGCGAAGAAGAATCGAAAGAACTCGTGGCTAGGGTTTCACCTGTAGGAGAAAACGCATGCGAGGAAATGCTGCAAGGTTTAATTTCTTCAGCGATGAACAATTACGGAAACACAGCGTTCGTGAAAGCGTTCGTAGGGAAGATATTAAGGGACGTATCTTCGAGGGTAACGGCTAAGAGAGTTTTGGAGAAAGCGTTTAGGAAAAGCTTGAAAACGGTGAAGCAATCGTTGGAGGATTATATGAGTCCTGTTTTTAGAGGTGATCATAATGAAACGGAAGCCATTCAGAGGTTGAATCTTCACAAAGCTTCTACTATTGGGAAACATCTTCTATGGCTTGTGGAGAGGATGATTGAGCTTAGGGTTGCTGATGCGGCTGTGCGTGAATGGAGTGAACAAGAGGCTTTCACGGCTGATTTGAAGAGGGCGTTTCGCGATGAAGCTTTGAGGAATATTGTGCCTGGTCTTCCTGCTGTTATTCTTCGTTGTACATCAAAGCTTGCGCATGCTGTTTGTGCCGGCACTATTTTGGCTTCTACTCAGGTACCCTTTAGCTAGTAACATTTCATTTTTTCTATCGTATGCTATTGTAGATATGTATTATATATGAATCACAAATGCAAACACAGACACATACAGCTCGACACTAGAAAATGAAAATGTACAATTTGATACTTGGAGAAAATGAAAATGATTGAATGTAACTACGTGGGTTGGTATTCGTCGATTTAGTGTCAAATACCAGACACATGTTAAATCTAAAGTGTTCGTGTTACTAAGTTAGTCTTACTATGTATGTCTTTGCATGGAGAATATAGATGTGGAATTCTAGTTCAAGAAAGAATTTGATAAGCATCTTATCAAAGTTATATTCAAGTATCAATAAACTTATAAAGGATTTTATGTAGGCTAAGAACTTGATAGATATTTCATTTGAGCAGCTCTTATATCATGGTGTATGCTAGAAGCTAATTTCAACTAGGTCTTAAAAGTTATATTTAAGTATGAATAAACTTATAAGGGATTTTATGTAGGCTAAGAACATGATAGATATTTCATTTGAGAAGCTTTTATATCATGGTGTATGTTAGAAGCTAATTGCAACTAGGTCTTTAAAGCTTTAATAAGGGTTTTGGTTTGCACCTCTAACTTCCTAATTGCAACATGGCAGAGGTTCATTAGTTTGAATTGTTTGGGAAATAGTTATTTATTCACTTCTTGGTCTTTTTGGTTTGAAACTTCAAAATTTACATTAATCTGACTGGTGCAATTGGGTATGTGTTTACAAAATTTATTTTGAATAATATCGCGAAATTTGTTTGGACCAAATATAATAAATTTCTCATAATTAAGTTGACCACCACCATACTCACATTTGAATTCTTTCATCATTTTTTCCCAATATGCCAAACAAGCCGAGGAGACCATTGATGCTTCACAATATTCGAATATGATTATTTGAGACCTCATTTTACAACATGTCTTTGACTCGAACAAATCTTATATTTTCTTGGTAAATGCTCTTTGTTACGACAGAATGCAAGTATGCAACACAAAAATATACCAAGGTTTTTTCATCTTATACTCCCATGTTTTATGTCAAATTCGGATTGGACTATTTGACCAGCCTCTAATAAAAAGACAAGTCAGCATTTATGTGTTTTGCTATGTATTTGCTTCGTAATAATTAACATCACTCTATTTTTGTTAAGAATTTTTCGCTTGACCATATTACTTAAATAGCGAACTAGTGCAAAATAGACGAATAATGATTGTTTTCTTGGGTGCCTTCTGAAAATACCAAAGCTCCTATAATCTGTTTTAACTTTTGAGATCTCGGAATTCGGAAGAGAACTATTAATGCAATAAAACTTCCTTTGAATACAAAGTGTACCTTACCTAGTTTTGATGTTCCCCCTTTCATTTGATATTTGATTTTTTTACCATGTTAATAGCAAGTCATTCAACAGTTTCTTGTGAAATTTTCTAAGACGACTATTTCTAAACTGACACTATTTTATCGAGCCATATAATTTATTTTATTTCTTTCATTTTATTCGCTTGCATGCTTTTACAAACTTTTCTCTACTCAATTCAGGTGAGAAGGAAACTAGTAGAAGACTGGCTTCCTGTTTTGGTTGTATGCAAAGACAGTGTTTCACCCGCCAGCAACAAATCGTTATATCTAGAATTGGAAGAAACTTTTTTGCAAATCATCTCCACATTGCCCATGTCAGATGCTCAAGAATTGTTGCAGCAGTGCCTCAGCTTTTCAACCCGAAATGTTGAAGATTGTCCTCACTTGGTAACAGCGTTCAACACCTGGTTCCGCCGTGCAGCCCACCCCTTCAAGCTAGATTCTCCGTGTGATCCATCAGATACCTGATCTGCCGGAACTTTGTTGGCTGGCTTGTCAAATATTATGCAGTTGTATATACTAACTCTGTTTAGAAAGTTGAACTTTAACATTGTACATAAAACTGTTTTCCCTGTCTTCTAAGATAAACATCAACCAAGACACTTAGACCTTGTCATGTGATTGTTGGCACGGCTGGTAAGTTCCTTGAAATGCAAGATTTTAGTTGCATGCATTTCTCAGTTGAAATGATGCATTGCAATTTTGGGATAATATGGAAGGAAAAAAATGCTAGCTTTGGATCTCTTGTGAATAAATCCATTTCTCCACTTGAACTTTTTACATTTTCTTATACTCATTGTGAATAAAGGTTGAAGATTGTTTGATTAGAGAGAGTATGCCAAAATGACACCTATGCATGAAAGGAAGATGGAGGGAGATAGACATAACAATGAGGGACAATTTATTAAATCTTAAATTTATACTAGTAGTTGATGATAGTAGATTATGATTATGTGCTCATTTTGGTAGTAGCGTTGAACATTTGAAAGCCAAAAATTTTCCCACCTAGGCCTAAGTGACTTTTTACTACTAGAGTAGGTTGTCTTGTCTGTTTTCAATACGATATCTGCCCAAATTTGTAACTGTTTCTAATTAAAATTTTGTTTCAAGTATTACAATGAAAAATCACATAGTAATAATCACAGGTCTCTTTCATTCTATCTCATGAAAAATCACAAATCTTCACAAACTACAAATATTTCTCTCTTTTTTTTTTGTTTCTCATGAAAAATCATAAATTTGCCTAAATCAAACACTCAAACTAACAAACATTTCTCTCTATTTTTTTCTCATGAAAAATAATAAATTTGCTTAAATCGAACACTCAAACTCTTTTAGAAATTTACAGTACACATCTCAAATTCTTCATCACTTTCTCTCTATAAAACATTCGTATTAAATGGAAAAGTATTATGAATTGATTTGCCTCATCTGAAAAGTATTATGCGAACGACAAAAGATCTGTGTTATGGATTTTAATTTTTTCCGAACTTTATGGATTCATTTAACGACACTAGATCTATGTTGAGGATTTTAGCTTTTCTGAGCTTTATGGATTTACTGATGCAAAATTTGTGTTCTAGATCTGATAAGAAAATCAACATTTGTTCAATAAAAGCTGCACTTATAAAGGGTAGGAGAAAGGAAGATTTCTGAAATTGTATATGAGTTTAGATGAATTTTAGGACGTGAGTGATGATGAAGGGAAAAAAGATAAATACTTATATATATATATAATATCATAATTAAATAAATATTTATTAAATAAATTGAATTAAATTAAATTAATACAAGAGTTAGTTATAACAATTAGTTTTAGTAAATAACTAAAAAAGTAAAATTAAAATAAATATAAAAAATTATTAAAATAATAATTAATAATTATATATATATATATATATATATATATATATATATATATATATATATATATATATATATATATATATATATATATATATATATATATATATATATATATATATATATATATATATATATATATATATATATATATATATATATATATATATATATATATATATATATATATATATATATATATATATATATATATATATATATATATATAAAAGTGTTAAGGCTCTTAAGTAATTTTTGAAATCAAAATTAATATCTTTTTAGTAATTATATATTTTCATTTTATTTTATTTTAGTAGTTATTTATTAAAAAATTATTTTTTTCACTAACTCTTAATTTTTTCTCACTAACTTTTATAATTATTAATTATTATTTTAATAATTTTTTATATTTATTTTAATTTTACTTTTTTAGTTATTTACTAAAACTAATTGTTATAACTAACTCTTGTATTAATTTAATTTAATTCAATTTATTTAATAAATATTTATTTAATTATGATATTATATATATATATATATATATATATATATATATATATATATATATATATATATATATATATATATATATATATATATATATATATATATATATATATATATATATATATATATATATATATATATATATATATATATATATATATCATACTAACTTATAATTCTAAAACTTCTTTCTAAAATCTCTTTAATAAAATTTTCCACCAAATACTATTTTTATTAATCATACTAATTAACATTTGTTTATATAAAAAATAATATTTCATCATACTTAATCAATATGATAATATTTTATGTCGTTAAATCAAATTTAATTAATTAATTAAATTAAAATAATCAAAATAATCTCTGTGAGCAACACATAATACTTAGTGGGAGGTTATAATGCTACTTGTTCGTATGAATAGTGTAACTTACATCATTCCCTCACGTTCATCTTAATTCGACTGACGCATGATATTTAGCAACTATATAAATTTATGGGAATTTTTTTGGACATCGAACACTCAAAAACATCTTTTGGTATTATATCTTTGAACTCACTTCAAATCAAAGTGTTTCAGTATTGTTATTTCTCTGGAATTATGATTGATTTATATTTTAATAAAACTATTTTAGCAGCAACATGTTGAATAAAATGGTTCAACTTTCTGTTTTCAACATGTCAAGAAGGATGTCCCAACAAGGAGTTAGGACATCGCGCCTGCAGCAAGTTGACAGTGTGAATCAGTTGATTTTTAGCTATTGTATATTCAATTAACTTATATGGCGTCCAAGATTGACAAATCAGAATATTCTTATGTTGGTTTTCAAAGATTGTAATAATTTCTAATTATGGAGACATTTTAGAAAACTAATGATTGGAAATCTATTTTCTTGGAGGACTTTTTGCAGATATTGTGCAACCTCATTGTTGTAGTTTTGAAGCCCAATCCAGTCCAGAATGAAGTTATAAATAGACTGTTGTATACCTAGTATTAGGTGAAATTTACAAATGTATTTGTGTTAGGGTTTTTAGAATCTCTATTGTTGGGTTGTAAGTTTCATGTTAGATATTCAGAAGCTTTTAAGCATTTGACATATTGTGTGTCAACTCTCATAAGCTTTAAGCATTGAGTTTTGTATGTTTTGGAAGTATAGTTTTTGATTGTTTTTGTTCTCTACTTGTGTTTAGAGTTGCTCTAATTGTTGAGTGTAATTGAAGAGGAATTTGAGGAGGACCTCATACCTAGGTGTGTCTTAGGTAGAAGTTAAGCAAAGGATAGTGATTAAGTGTGCAGACTGTAAACTGGAGGTTTGCTGTAAGGTCTGCAAATTGATACTATCTAGTTAATTTCGTCCCTAGCATGGTAGCCTTCATAGTAAGAAGGTTGTTTTGAACTGGGTAAATATATCATGTGCTATTTACTTTCAGCACTGTTATTTCTGTTTATACATCTTGCTCTTGTGTGTGAAGTCGGATCCGGTGTCTCGACATCTCTTAGGACATCCGAGATCTGATAGCCAGAATTTCATATATGCATTTCCAAATGCATCCAAAATCAAATTTTGGATAGAATTCAAAAATGTACTTCCGAAAATATCCTGTTTCAAGCCATAACGTTAAATTTAAACATTCAGGTATGTTTTCGGAGATACAAATTACTTCAAATCTTCTATAAATAGGATGTCTAAACCATTTCTTCAATATCATACACCAGACTCAGATATCACACACTACAAATCAGATATGACACAAATATGTCCTCACTTTGCTTTTGTCTACTTCAATGGTGCGATGTCGCCACTTCAATTTAGGTTCTGCGAGGATACGCCTCTCGCCGAGCTCATTACTATTCTCAACCCTCTCTTGCAATATCCAGAAAATTGGAGGGTAGTCCGGATCGAGTATCGTTCACTATCACTTGACACTGATGGAAATGTCAAGTTCACCAAGTTTGAGTTAAAGACGGATGACGATTTAAAGGTTATGTGGAGTACTTTTCGCCAATACTCTACTAAGAGTCCGATTGAACTAGATGCAAAAATTTAAAGATCTGTTGAAGATGTTATCAAAATGTTGCGACATCTTCAATTACTTAAATTTAATTATAGTTATCAAATTTAATTATAGTTTCATATTTGTTATTTAATACATACTTTATTCTTTTTATTTTGGAGGTCAACAACAGTTTCAGAAAGAGATACCTTTAAGACTCGGTTCTATACTAGTGAGAAGAAAGTGTTAGAGCTGACAAAGTGACTTCACGAAGAGTAGAGCCTTAATGCATATGTCAACACAAAGAGGAAGCGTCTATGGGAGAGTTGAGTCATAATTTGTTTCTTTGTAACCCTATTTTGTTATAATTTGAACTTACTAATAAGAATCTTTGTTTCCGTTCCTTTTTTATTAACAAATTTAAATCCCACAAGGTCCTTGAAAATATTGCATATGCATCTACATACCATATATATCATTTCATAACAGGTTTCCAAGACAGGTTTCTCATCTTCTCGCTGTTTATTTCAGCAGAAATGACTCTCGAACAGATAGTCAAAGAACTCCCGACTCAAAATGCTTAGTTCCAAGAGATGTTCCTAAACTTAGCCAAGGAGCAAGAAGAACTGAAGGTGCTCATCAACGAGAAGAAGAAGACAAAGAAACCAACGACATCCTTAACACGGGGAGAATGTTAAGAGTTCTATTCAAGCAAGCTCAAGATCTTAATATCTCATTGGATGAAGATGGTGAACGGGATGAAGATGGTAAGAGTGTTAAAACTGAAAAAAGCAATCATGATTCTGACAAATATTTTGCTGGAGAGGAAGAAGATTATTTGGAAGAACAATATCCCCCTGCTGACGAGAAGTATAAGCTGTTAGAAGAGCGTCTGAAAGCTATGGAGATCTAGAAGGGGCCTGGCTTGAACTTTAAAGAATTGGGTTTAGTCTCAGGAGTCGTCATTCCTCCTAAGTTCAAAACTCCTATCTTTGCTAAGTATGATGGTGTTTCTTTCCCGAAACTACATTTGAGATCATATGTTCAGAAAATTCAACCACACACTGCTGACAAGAAATTACGGTTGCATTTATTTCAAGAGAGT